GTTATGTGCCAAACGTGATACACGCTTAGGCGATCATATATCTTTCGATACCTGACTGGCGAGGCTGATTTTTTTTCCTGCAGTAGTTTGCCATTTCTTTTCTGCGGTAGACCAAGTTGGCATCCTGGTCTGTCCTGCTATTTACCCATAGCTGGAAGGGAGAAGAAAAGGAATCACACCTTTCCCAAGGGTATTAGCACGTAAGTGAATGTAATGGATTCGACTGGAATTCGAACTCGGCTCTCCGATTCCTCAATCCGAGCAATTACGAATTATCCTTCTCCTAGATCAGTTGCCATCCAAGGCTACAGAACCCAGTCCGTCTTGCTATTTACACAAAGCTAGGGGAAGAAAAAGAGGATTCATACCTTTCCTAAGGGTATTAGCACGTAAGGAATGTAATGGATTCGACTAGAATTCGAACTCGGCCTCCGACTCTTCAATCCGAGCCGCTATCCATTACTCTCCCGGAAAATCTAGAAGAGGATTCATACCTTTCCCAAGGGTATTAGCACACATAAGTGAATGTAATGGATTCGACTGAATTCGAACTCGGCTCTCCGATTCCTCAATCCGTGCCGCTATCCATTACTCCTCCGGGAAAATCTAGAAGAGGATTCATACCTTTCCCAAGGGTATTAGCACGTAAAGTGAATATAATGGATTCTGACTGAATTGAACTCGGCTCTCGATTCCTCAATCCGAGCCCTATCCATTACTCCCCCGGGAAAATCTAGAAGAGGATTCATACCTTTCCCAAGGGTATTAGCACGTAAGTGAATATAATGGATTCGACTGGAATTCGAACTCCGCTCTCCGATTCCTCAATCTGAGCCGCTATCCATTACTCCTCCGGGAAAATCTAGAAGAGCATTCATACCTTTCCCAATGGTATTAGCACATAAGTGAATGTAATGGATTCGAATGGAATTCGGACTCCGCTCTCCGATTCCCCAAACCGAGCAATTACGAATTGTTCTTTTCCTAGATCAGTTCCTATCCAAGGCTATAGACCTAAGTCTCTCCTGCTATTTACCCATAGCTGGTGGGGAGAAGAATAGGACTTCTGGACTTTATCGAGGCTGATAAGTCAGTACTGGGTAGCTCCCGTTCAAATATGACAACAGTACTCAATTTTAGGCCTGTAAAGGTAGAGGTTAGCATTAGGTGTCAGCTACTTACTGGAGCAGTACAGAGAGCAATGCGTTTTCCCTGAATCTTTAGCGAGGCCAATGAGTATAAACTAAGTTGGTTTAATTTGATGCCAGCAATATTTCCTATTGTTCATTCCGTGGCTGTAAAACGTAGCGAAACAATATGAAACGACTGTTTTGGGGAGGTTCTTTGTAATTCTGTCAGAGAAAGTAACTATTGCTTGGGACCTCTACGTTTAGGTGGAGTCGGATTTCTGACAACGCTTTATGATCACTCTTCCTATAGACTTTTCCTGGTAAGTCTGTGTGCCAGAGCCCATGAACCTCTTCATTTCTCCAACCAGCTTAAAAAAAAATATATCTAAATTTCTGACTGTGCACGTGAATAGATAAGAGATTCTGTTAGATTCACTCACAAACTGTTATGGGACCTAACCCATAATAACATAATACTATCCCATACGTAATAAATACTGTGCCTCAAGAGAAAGCAGGGAGTTCCGTCTGAAGTCGGACGTCCGGCTGACCGGCTGATCGGTTGAAGTCTCTGCCTTCGGGCGGGGAGGAACCCGAACGAGGCTACGCCGAAGGGCGGAGTCTCTTTCAAGGAGGTAAACTGACCCTGAACCCGTTTATACGGTTTCAAAGGGCATATTTTTGGCTGAGACGCACGGGCTCGGAGATCCCACGTTAAACCGGCCTTGTGCCACATGATGCCCTCGTGGGATTGATGACTAAATACTGTTTTGTCTGAAGTCTGGAGTTCCGTCTGAAGTCTGGGGTGAAGTCCGTCAGGAGTCTGTCTGTCAGTCAGAGCGAGTCAGTCAGTCGAGTCAGAGGCAGTCCGAAACAGAGTCGCGTTCACACAATTACTACTAAACCTGATTGTTCGTACTAACACTTTTTACTTCTCTGTATATATTCCTGTTTGTAATATATCTGTGTTATTCCATATCCGCCTTCGAATTCTTCTTAATTGGTTCTACCATGGACTATCACCGTGGTACAAGGAACCGGATCATAACAAAGACTTAAGCCAAGCCGATTAATTTCGACCACGTGATCCTTCGGAGGACGTCTTAAACGCACTTGGGTTGCCTAATTTCTTACACCCATCCATTTCATTTTTACCATCATTGTGATACTATCCCAATACTTTTGACAATTCTCAACCTCTGACATCTTCAAGCGTTTAGCTGAAATATCTATTGTTTCAAATCATGACTAACGTTTCCCGAATTATCTAGACTTCACAGCTGTGAGTGAATACGCTGTTCTAATCGTGGGAATTGATGCTTTTGGTTCAATTCTTTTCAAACCATTTAATGCATTTTAATCCACTTCCGAAATTTTGCTCTGTTCTCCGGACTCATATTTCTATAAAGTTAAAGTTAACTCCAGATCAGAAATAGAGAACTGGCACTGTTCCATTTGTCCAGTTCCTCCAAGACTTGTGCAACAGACTTTAAGACTATTCCAAAACCTCTCATAATTATTAGGACAAATCATACACCAATTTCATCATTTTAATTCAAAGTTGATATATATTTTCCGCCTTTTCGCTAGAAAAACGGAATTTGCTGACGTTTTTATTTTATTTTATTTATTTTTCCATAATTAGATCTGGTCTACTGACCTAGCGTGGGTGTACGCGATGTCGCGAAGAAATGTCATTCTTCGGGAAAGAATCGGATTTGTACATAGAACAGTGGTGTGCAATCGTTTGCAATAAGTCATATTTTCAGGCGTTTTGAATGATTCCAACGTCGACGACAGCTCTCGCATAAAAACGATCTTATCTAAATCTGTCAAGACGATTCTGTGGACTTGTTCTTTCATATATAGGTATTTCCTATATATCCGTTATCATCTTCTTTTGCACACACACACACACACACACACGTGTGCACACACACATTTATATATATATATATATATATATATATATATATATATATATATATATATATATATACTACAACCCTAGCACACATGCGCACACAGAATCACACACACACATATATATATATATACACACACACACACATATATATATACACACTGATATATATATATATATATATATATATATAATTTTTTAAAAAAAAAAATTATAACATAAGTATGTTATAAAATCACTACAAAAAATAGCCATTTTGTTTCAACACACTCTGTGTCTTATCAAGTGATGATGTTGAAAAGAAAATACATGGTTTTAAAAGTTTCAGAATTATTAACGATCCTACACTAGGGGGAAACATTGTTACAAAAGCTAGAATAACCAATCAAAAATCAAGTATAGAAAGATTCAAAAGCTTGACAACGAAATCATGTTATGATAGCTATTCAGATCTTTAATATACGTGTAATATGAAAAATAATTTATACTAACCAATAATTATAAAATTATATGATAAAATTTAATATCAAAATTAAAAACTGGCAATTTTAAAATCCAAGTTTAATCACTATTAAGTTTAAAAACTACAAAATTATTGAGAAAAGAAAAAAATATATATGTTTATTCAATTCATTTCTTCATTGAAATTACGTTCGACAAGACGCTACAATATATCCGGTCATTTGACAATACGTGTATATATTTTTTTTTCTTTTCCCTTTCTTTTCCTTTTTTATTTTAAAGTGTGTGAATGTGGTCTTAAACTCACGCGCAAAACAACAAAAACACAATCAGATTATAATACATAAGCAACCAGACATAATTAGACATACACATACACACACACACACACACACACACACAAAAAAGGGGGGGGCGAGACATGAACATCTCTACAGCCCTTTATGAAAAAAAAGGAGACGTGGAAACCAACACTTATACACACACACAGTTAAATGTGAATACACTCTACATACACATAGACACCGATAGATACACATACATACATCCACAGACAATGACATAGACAATCAGATATCACAAACAATAAATATTTAAGACTTAAAGATATACTTATATATATATATATATATATATATATATATATATATATATATATATATATATATATATCACAGTATTTTCCTATCAATTCTCCTTTCTTCGCATCTGTCATTGTTCATCCGTCTAGGTATCTATTTAATTTCTACCATCTAATTTCCCTAATTTCTCTCTTTTCATATCTTTTCTCTCTCTTTCAATATATATATATATATATATATATATATATATATAAGAAGAAGAAAAAGAAGAAGTAGAAGAAGAAGAGTAATGGTATAGTAAATGTATTGGTGGGGTTATTGTAAAGTTAAAAACTCTACATGCTACTTTTACTTTTATTTTATTTTCTTACACGTGTATTAAGCACTTTTTAATACCACTGTTTCTTGGTCTGATTAAACTTTGAGCATTAACCAATTATGCATTATATAAATATATATATAGAGATAGATAGATAGATAGATAGATAGATAGATAGATAGATAGATAGATAATGAATAGACGGGATCAAAACAGACAGATAGATAGATAGATAGATAGATAGATAGATAGATAGATAGATAGATATTCTCTTCAGCTGAAGTTCTTGAGAGCGTCGAGGTTGGGTTGTGACTCCAGATGTCTGTCGTTGAGTGTTGACGTTGTGATGTGATTTTTTTTTTTTGCTATGTGCAGACAGACTAGGCGTTGAACATTAATTTACTGCAGAGGTAGGTGTCTGCTCTTTTTTCTTACCTTGTTCAGGATTTTTATTTCTTGTCTAATATATTAGGACGTCTAGCAAGTCGTCTCTTGATTAACACCAACTTTCTTTATTATCTATCTATTGTCTTCGCGTTTTTCATTATCTATCTATTTATCTATCTTCGCGTCATTCATTATCTATGTATCTATCTATCTTCTGTTCACTATCTATCTATCTATCTATCTATCTATCTATCTATCTATCTTCGTGTCATTCATTATCTATCTATCTATCTATCTATCTATCTATCTTCCGTTCACTATCTATCTATCTATCTTCCTCGCGCTCTTTAGGATCTATCCATCTTCTTCGCGTCATTTATTATCTATCTATCTATCTATCTATCTATCTATCTATCTTCGCGTCATTCAAGATCTATTTAACTATATATTTATCTATCTTCCTCGCGTCCTTTATCTATCTATCTAGATTTGTATCTATCTGTCCCTCACGATCTGTCCATATCTATCTATCTATCTATCTATCTATCTATCTATCTATCTATCTATCTTCGCGTCATTCATTATGTATCTATCTATCTATCTATCTATCTAACTTCGCGTCATTCATTATCCATCTATCTATCTATCTATCTTCCGTTCACTATCTATCTATCTATCTATCTATCTATCTATCTATCTATCTATCTATCTATCTATCTATCTTCCTCGCGTTCTTTGGATCTATCCATCTTCTTCGCGTCATTTATTATCTATCTATCTATCTATCTATCTATCTATCTATCTATCTATCTATCTTCCTCGCGTTCTTTAGGATCTATCCATCTTCTTCGCGTCATCTATCTATCTATCTATCTATCTATCTATCTATCTATCTTCGCGTCATTCAAGATCTCTCTATCTATATATTTATCTATCTTCCTCGCGTTCTTTATCTCTCTATCTATCTATCTATCTATCTTACTCGCGTCCTTTATTATCTATCTAGATTTGTATCTATCTGTCTCTCACGATCTGTCCATATCTATCTATCTATCTATCTATCTATCTATCTAACTTCTATATAACTATCTATCTATCTAACTTCTTTATATATTTAAAGAAAGTGAGAGGAAGAGAGTAACGGTTACAAAGCTTGGCTCGCTAAAGCAGTTACGGCTAGAGAGTGAGTTCGAGCCTCACTGAGTGCCCCTTACTTTCTGCCTTGTGCCACATCTAAGCTACGTTTAAAATCAGTATATATTGACTGTAAATCATTGTTCAGTGTTGTGTTGTAATATTACACGGAATTTTTTCTTTTGACAATCTCTTTAAAAGATTCATTCCATGTCAATGTTCCGTTGGCGGAAAAGGAATCCTGACTTTGGTATCCCGTCACTTTCCATATAAGTCAGGTGGATATTTTTCTTGTCTGCTTTTATTATATCGCGTGCGATAATTGTTGTTTTCGACGGATCGATCATTGGGCGAGTGTTTAGGTATTAATAATTGGTTATGTCAGTTATTCTAGATGTTTCCTATGTTCGTTCCAGTATTAAATCTATTTTCTTTGGGGTTGTGTTTTTTGTTTCGATACCAAGAATTTGTTGGCTTTGTTCACAATTAATACTTTAGTTGTACTTCGGCGGATATTATTATTTTTTTTTGTTTTTTTTGGCGTAATTGTTGTCTGTTGTTATATGATTTTTTTTTATTAATTTTATTTTTTTAATCATTTCCCCTCAAGCAAGGCGATAATGCCACTATGACGCAGCGTGTAACGGCGAGTGAAAGACAATGAAAAAAGGAATTGATGGATTGAGGAAAGTGTCAAAAGGAACAAGGTTCAAGAAAACAAAACATGGCGATTGATGTTGCATATAATTTTTCCTTATTACTTATCTAATACTTAATTATTACTAATTTACTGAACTATTACTTAATTATAATTATAATTAACTATTTATTAATTAACTAATTTACTTAATTATTACTAATTTATTACTTAATTATTACTAATTTACTTAACTATTACTTAATTATTACTAATTTAATTAACTATTACTTAATTATAATAATTTAATTAACTATTACTTAATTATTACTAATTTTTTAATTATTATAATTTACTTAATTATTTAATTAAATTTAATTATTACTTAATTATTACTAATTTTTACCTATTACTTAATTATAATTACTTAATTATAATTATTAATTATTACTAATTTAATTATTACTAATTTATAATTATTAATTAATTATAATAATTTAATTAACTATTAATTACTTAATTAATTATTACTAATTTACCTATCTATTACTTAATTATAATTATTAACTATTAAATAACTATTACTTAATTATTACTAATTTACCTATCTATTATTTAATTTTAATTATTTAATTAACCATTACTTAATTATTACTAATTTATTTTAACTATTACTTAATTATAATTACTTAATTATCTATTACTTAATTATTACTAATTTACGTATCTATTAATTATAATTACTTAAATAACTATTACTTAATTATTACTAATTTACTTAACTATTACTTAATTATAATTACTCAATTAACTATTACTTAATTATTACTAATTTATTTATCAAGTGGGAAGTACGGAAAAAGAAACTGTTATGACATTTGCATGTAGCTAACTGAAAAGGAAAACAGTGAGACCTACTTGCCAATCGAGTTCCGCGTTTAAATTGCTGCAGTCGGGGCTCGATAGAAAAAAAAAAGATTATCAGAAGAGTTGGCATAAAAAATAGTTTTAGGAAACACAGAAGGAAGCCGCGTCACTGAAGTTGAGAAGTCTGGTCAGGATCGATGAAATTTCCTTTCTTTTATACGCTTTTGTTGATTGTTTGTTTTTGATGGTCAATTGTTTTTGGATATTTATCACAGAATCTGCACTTTTGGATAACACAATTGTTCAGTATATGAGCTTGGTAATTTCTAGTTAGAAAGCATTGGTCCTGTGGAAAAAGAATAAAACCTTCGGTTTTAGCTTTTAACTCTGCACTTCATAGCCACTGATGGGTAAGGGATTTCTCTACATCAGATTATTGACCGTGAAGAGGTTTATCTTGCCATCGTTTTTTCTATCTAGTCGGTTGCAGTTGCTTTTGCTTTCTTTTTAAAGTATTTTGCAGCTTCAATCAGTGTATTATACTTTACTTGTATTTCTTCTTTTTCTCCGTCTTCTTCTTCTTCTTCTTCTTCTTCTTATTATTATTATTATTATTGTTATTATTATTATTATTATTATAATACTACTTTAATTACACATGTTCCTTTAGTTAGTTCACACGGCCGTTACGCCCTGCCAATATATCATAAATAAAGGACTATTCGGTTTTGATCGCGAGGAAAAAAAGGGGAAAGACACTACTTGGTTTCAGTGAGAAATTGAACGAAAGAAAGAAAGAAAGAAAGAAAGAAGGGACGGCAGAAGTTGTTACGGTTTTTTTGGGTATATATGGCATATAACTAGTGAGCGAGTCAGAATGACTTATTTCCCTTTATAGTCGACCAATAGAAGGTTGACCAATCAGAAGCCGCCCAACACTGTATTCATAGTGTATAAAGGCGGCCATCTTGTTTCCTCCTACCAGAAGGACAAAAGGCGACCAGGAGAAGGATGAACTACACTCTGCTGTGATATCCACTGCGAACCTTCACTACGCTTTCCTACTGTCTCCGAAATATTCACTGCCAACCTTTGGATGCGACACTCGAGGATCAACCGTCATGAAAATGTCTAACAGAAGTATTTAATGTCTCATTCAAATACTTAATAAATAATGGCCTATTCCATTTAGATAAACAAATCACATATCACAGATGCTACTTGGGCTCAGTGAGAAAATGAAAGAAAAAAAAAGAAAGAAAGAAAAAACAAAAAAAATGGAAGATAGAACGTCTGTTGCAGTAAAATGGAAAAAAATGTCAATTTTAAATCTTTTCATTTGTACCCCCTTACTTCTTGAAATAACAACCAGCATTCATATTTATGTTTGGTCATCGCAATCTTTTGTTAAAAGTTAACCTAATATTTAACGATGCGACAAGGGAATTTCTACGGATATTTTATTGTCGTAGAACACGTCATGAGCTTACTCATTTATCAACTTAAGAATGAAGATTCATCAGAATATTAAAACAGGAAACAAAGGCCTTTCTATTTATTATTATTATTATTATTATCATTATCAAAATCTGTCTATATTTCTGTGATGAGCATTGTAATTATTTACATTGTTCGGATTATTGACCTCATCTTTATTGCCATATTCACGACGTTTCGGCCGTTGTTACACTCTGGACTTTTTCAGGAACTGTCTCTATTTCTAAGATGAGCTCACGTAAATAATTACACTATTTACATCGATGAGCTGTTGATTTCTTGGATTTCTTCTATCGTTGACTTTGAAATAACTAGGTTATTGTAGACTAGCAGCATGGCCCGGCGTTGCCCGTGCTTGATTCAAAAATCGTACCACTCATACAGCAATCGCTATCACTTGACTTAAAATATTTTTGCCCTTCCTTGTCTTTAAAGGAGTGCCCTTTGCCGTACTGATGTTGCTACATGACTTACATCTGGCCTATCTCACACTGCGAATTTTTCCTAAGCTCTATACTAAACATTAAATCTGTGACGAAAAAAAGAACTAAGCAAAATGAACACAAAACGATCAGCTTTAAAAAAAGGACTCGTAACTGGAAAAACCGAATGAAAAAAGAATGTTAACAACAAATACTTTTTCACACCCAACCCAGTTCTGCGGAATCAGAATCAACATTGATTTTAAGCAAGCGAATGAGCCAATTGGAGTAAAGTGCCATGCAGATTTAAATTTTCCCCACTTCTGACGAATGCAGCTATCGATTTTTTTTGCATGCTAGTTAACATTCGTGTCAGTCAGCTGTTGGCTCTAACGCTGCCCAATAGAATCTTCCTGCCTATTCGTGGCAGCCAGCTATTGGCTCTCATTCTGGCCAGTAGAAAATGGTCGCAAACTACATGAAAACTGCACGAAAAGGTCGATTATTTCCACTATTGATGGGAGTTGGGAAATGCAAGTCGGTCTTGGCCTTCCCGCTAACTTGGAGCATGTGCATGTAAATTTTGGTGTAAATCCGTTGAAAATTGCGGCCGTGCATTCGTTACACACACACACACACACACACACACACACATCCTGCCTTTTATAGATAGAGATGTAGATAATTTCTCTTTTATTACATGGGCGATAGTTAAATCTCAGGGACTGTTTAACCTATCTAGAAAGTAGTCTTGTCAGATATATGTTGCACTAAAACTCTTCCTAAAACATACATGCGTCTCGCACCCACAAACTTACCGCGCCGGATATTCCCAAGCCGTGAGCCATGCGTCTCGCACACGCAGACTTACCGCGCCGGGTATTCCCAAGCCGTCAGCCATGCGTCTCGCACACGCAGACTTACCGCGCCGGATATTCCCAAGCCGTCAGCCATGCGTCTCGCACACGCAGACTTACCGCGCTGGATATTCCCAAGCCAGCAGCCATGCGTCTCGCACACGCAGACTTACCGCGCTGGATATTCCCAAGCCGTCAGCCACGCGTCTCGCACACGCAGACTTACCGCGCCGGATATTCCCAAGCCAGCAGCCATGCGTCTCGCACACGCAGACTTACCGCGCTGGATATTCCCAAGCCGTCAGCCATGCGTCTCGCACACGCAAACTTACCGCGCCGGATATTCACAAGCCAGCAGCCATGCGTCTCGCACACGCAAACTTACCGCGCCGGATATTCACAAGCCGGCAGCGATCTACGTACTGACCAGACTTGACGTTGTTTTACTGCGGTGATCGTAAGGGATCCTGTGTTTCAAATTGATGTGGCTGTAATCTTGAGATCTGGAGTGAGTTCGAGTCGGAATAAACGATCAAGCATCGTTTCTAAAGCAAAACCTGACAAGAAGAGAAAAGGAAGACTTTTAGCAAATGGACCTAAAGCTAAGCAAGAGAAATCAAAAGACAATCGAAAAAAGAGCAGCAGTTCGCATTGTAATAATAAATAACATCGCAAATCATCATAAAGTATTCTTTCATTTCCCGCTTCTTCTAAATTTTCTCTGCCTAGTCAGTCTTCGGGCTTAATTATGAGAACAGTTGGAAATATTCTAGGAAGTCTGAGATTTCAAAGAAATTTCTGAGAAACCAATCTCTGAGTTACAAATCTAACCAGTCGACAGGTCAAAGAAGGTTGTTTCGATTATTTGGCCCAAATCTTTACGAGAATGCAATATTGGGTCGCCATCTCGAAAGTGAGCAAATTTACTACAGGCAATTGTCAGACGCGTAAATATTGGGGTGCCAGCTAATATCAATCTTCTTCACGTTCTTCATTATCTATCTATCTATCTATCTATCTATCTATCTATCTCATTCTGTTCATATCTATCTATCTATCTATCTATCTATCTATCTATCTATCTATCTTCGCATTCTTCATGATCTATCTATCTTCTTCGCGTCTTTATCTATCTATCTATCTATCTATCTATCTATCTATCTATCTATCTATCTATCTATATTCTTCGCGTCCTTCATTATCTATCTATCTATCTATCTATCTTCCTCGCGTCCTTCATATCTATCTATCTATCTATCTATCTATTTTCTTCGTGTCTTTAATTATCTATCTATCTATCTATCTTCGCATAATTCATTATCTATCAAGCTATCTATCGTCTTCGCGTTCTTCATTATCTCTCTATCTTTTTCACACCCTGCATTATCTATCTATCTATCTATCTATCTATCTATCTATCTATCTTTTTCGCGTCTTTATCTATCTATCTATCTATCTATCTATCTATCTATCTTCTTCGCGTCCTTCATTATCTATATATCTATCTATCTTCCTCACATTCTTTATCTATCTATCTATCTATCTATCTATCTATCTCGCATTCTTTATCTCTCTCTCTCTCTATCTCTTTCTCTCTCTCTATCTCTCTCTCTATCTCTATCTATCTTCCTCGCATTCTTTATCTCCCTCTCTCTCTCTATCTATCTATCTATCTATCTATCGTCTTCGCGTCTTCCATCATTTTTCTGTGAAAAGAATGATTGAATCTGTTCAAAGATTCACCCAGAAATACCATAAACTTTCAACCAAATATCTAAAGCAAACAGAGCGAGCTTCACCATTCTTATCAAAAATTTCATTGACTCTTTGAGCATTAATCCTTAATACATAATCATTTGATCTAAAGTACTTATGTGGCTTCTCATGAGGAAAATTCTGACGTTGTTGTTCTATAGCACCAACACACGACGAAGGTTGATAATCGCGTTTTATAAATCAAAACAAAGCAAGAAGGGAAAAGAAAGAATTTAAAAAAAAATGAATCCGTAGTTTCATGATAACCCGTACCACTCACCCACCAAAGCTTCCAGCACCTAGCATTCTCAAGGAGTTACCCATCTAGGTACTGATAAGGCTCGACGTTGTTTAACTTCGGTGATCGTAAGAGATCTAGTGCTTCAATTGACGAGGCCGTAAGCTTGGGGTCTGGATTGAACTTGAATCACAATAGATGTTCCAACATCGTTTCTAAAGCAAAACCAGACAAGAAGAGAAAAGGAAGACTTTTAGTAAATGAGCCTAACGCTAAGCAAGAGAAATCAGCGGAAAAATAAAAAAAAAGAGCAGCTCTTTGCATTGTAATAATAACATCGTAACTCACGATGAAACATACTTTCATTTCTCGCTTCTCTCAACTTTTCTCTTCCAAGTCAGACTTCAGCCTTAATCATAAAAACAGTTGGAATTAATTCTAGGAAGTCTCCGACGATCTGTCTGCTCAAATTTCAAAGTGGAAACCAATCTCCTAGTCATTAATCTGACCAGTCGGCAGGGCAAAGAAGGATGTTTCGATTATTTGGCCCAAATCTTTACGAGAACGCAATATCGGGTCGCCATCTTTAAAGCCAGCAAATTTACTACAGACATATGTCAGACACGTAAATATTGGGGTGCCAGCTGATAGCGAAATCAGGTGATAGATATAAACCAAACTCCAAGCCACTCACTACCGATCCTTGTAAAATGTGTGTTTTTTTTTTATGTTTTTTTTTTTTATTTCGGGATGGTCTTAATATTTAAGAACAGTTAAGTAAAGAAAAGGTAGGATGCTATTAAGTCTCTTTTTATATCGATTATTTGTATTTCTCAAATAATCTATATATTTATTATTTATGATTATTATTTATTTATTCATATATTTGCTTCTCTGTTCATATCTATCTATCTATCTATCTATCTATTTCACGGCATTCATATATATTTCAGTCTTTTCCTATATATTTCAGCTTGTTTATCTATCCAACTACTCTCTCACACACACACACACACATATATATATATATATATATATATATATATATATATCACTCGGTTCATGGTTATCTATCTCTCTCTTTTTATATCTATTTATCAATCTCACTCGTTTCATATCTTTCTCAAACTGTTCATGTCTGTCTATCTAGCTACGTTCATCGAAATCTATCTATTTATCGATCTATCTTTCTATGTATGTATGTATTTCTCTCTCTCTCTCTCTCTCTCACTCTCTCTCTCTCTCTCTATATATATATATATAAAAAATTGAACAATGAAGTCAACGCTCAGAGGAGATGGTCTGTTTCATGCCAGACGCAATCGTCAGACCACCCTGACCGGACGATTGCCTCTAGCATGAAACAGACTGTCGCCTCTAAGTGTTGACTTCTATGTTCACTTTTATATTTACACACGCTCTATCTCTGATATTGAGCACTTTATCCCATAAAATAGCACACCTTAAGACTATATTTCTTCATATATATATATATATATATATATATATATATATATATATATATATAGATAGATAGATAACTAGACTAATTTCGAAAAAACCCTCGAATTTTTGATTTGCTAATATTTACCCCCCCACCGCCCACTTAGTTTTTTTTTTTTTTTTTTTTTTTCACGTGGTATGATTTTGGCTATCACCTATAAATATGTGTTTCTCTTTGCCTCGTTAGCCAAACTTTCCCTGACGATCCATTTAGGTGAAACCTCAGTAGGTTTGTCTGGCTCACTAGGTATATATATATATATATATATATATATATATATATATATATTATAAATTAACTGGTTTAAAATATGGATTCATTTTACACGGGGATTACCATGTTTCAAAAACAGAAAACAAAAACTTCAAATTCAATTATATTAAATTAAAAGCATTAGTTCTCTTTCGTTTTCAAGTGAATTTTGGAATCTCTATCTACCATCCTCCCGATTTCTCTTCTTTTGCTAATTTTTTCACTTTGAATCGAGAGGATAGCAGATCACCATTCCCCCAAAAGATGAACCGAACTAATGCTTTATATTTAATATAATTGAAGATGAAGTTTTTGTTTTCTTTTTGAAACATGGTAATTCCTGTGTAGCGAAGGAACCGTGTTTTTAATCAGTTAATTTATAATATTTATGCTCTGTAAATTTACATTGAGTACTGTTTTGCATATATAAAAAAATCAATAAGAACACCGGATGACATTTTAACATCTTACTGTTCTTCCTTTATTTACTATATATATATATATATATACCGTTACTGTTTTTGTTAATTTTTTTTTTTTAAATGAGTTCAATGAGGCTTGTAAAGAAGCAATAGTATTGTAACAAGAGCCACCATAACAAAAATCACCGTCGTTTACAAAGAAAGACGAAAACGCCTCCTCATGGACGATTTTCAAATGCTTAAAAAAATGCTTCGGTTTAAAATTGCCAAAATGTCGGCCAGTTTTGACCCAGTTATCTTTGGGGTGTTTGGTTGGCATTCATGTCTTCTCAGCTTAACTGAGTGAAAGTTTTAACATGTACATTAGGGAACAGTGGATTAATGAATAGCGGTTTGGATTGAGGAATCGGAGAGCCGAGTTCGAATTCCAGTCGAATCCATTATGTTTACTTACGTGCTAATACCCTTGGGAAAGGTCTGAATGCTCTTCCCCCCCGCCCAGCAATGCGTAAATAGCAGGACAGACCGGGTTCTATAGACTTGGATGGCAACTAGTCTACCGCAGAAAGAAATGGCAACCTACTGTCAGTCATGTATCGAAAGATACATGGTCGACTAAACGTGTATCACGCATGGCACATAACTCACTAACTTTTTTGAAAGGTATGAATCATCTTCTTCTCCCCCCAGCTATGGGTAAATAGCAGGACAGACCGGGTCAGTCATGTATCGAAAGATACTTGATCGCATAAGCGTGTATCACGCATGGACCATTACTGACTGGCATTAGGGCAGCATTTTTTGAAACCGTCCTATTACAGTCAATTTGAAAGTTGGTGTTTAACATGATTGATAACGACAAAGATATTTTTTCTAAATCGTTTCAGTCTTTTGGGGAAACTGGTGTAAAGATTAAATTTAGGTTTTAAAATGGAACATTAGAATTTCATTCCGGTGATCAACGAAACACTTTAACAATTCCCAAAGAATAAAACAACAGTCAACTAAAATACAGAATGTTGTACTTAAAATATATGAAAGCTGAACTCAAATGAAAGGGAAGTTGGCTCCCTGTGCCGCGCCAGGAAATTTTTCTCACCGGAATCGATTTTTAGATCTACAAATCAGCCATTCGCCCTTGCATGCAGTATTGCTCCCATATATGGTCTGGCGCCCCTTCTGTTTGCCTCGGGATTCTTGATAGATCCATAGACGGATATACAATATAAATGGCCCTGTTCTGGCATCTCATCTACAGTCACTTTCTAACAGACGCGCCGTCGCCTCTCCCTGTCTTTTTTACAAATACTTTCATGGTAATTGCTCCGAGGAGCTGCGTTCGCTGGTTCCCAGGCTTCATGAATTCTACTCCAATAGCTTCATATCTCGCACCTCTCGCCTGTGGAACTACTTTCCATATTCCTGTTTCCCTGAGAGCTATAATCTCCAACTATTCAAATGTAATGTCAATCGACATCTCCAGTTGCCTTGATCTATCCACTATCCTTCTCCTCATCCTTTCCTCTATCACTCCTATCTGATCTTGCTCCAAATCTTCTGTAACCCCTTGCGTCATAGTGGCTTCCCACCTTGCTTGGGGTGAAATGCTTAAAAATATATGAATTGGAGGCGAAGGAGAGGGATATTAAAAAAATGTTAGTAAACATTAATTCATACTTAATTAGTTATGTCAATTTACAAGACTAATTTTAAAATTTCATTCAGATTACATCAGAAAAATAAAACCCGAAGAATATATATCTTTAAAAAATAACATTTATCAACTATTAAGTGACACACTGGTCAAATTTGATTAACCTCTCACAAAATAGATTCTGCGCTTGCAGAAGGTTTTTCAAATAATGAACTGCAAGTGGTTCATGAGAACTGAACGACTTTACCGAATTTACTGGCAGATTCGCAAAATATAGACAGACCAGTTAAATTAACGACGGAAGCTTCACAAATTGTACAGGAACAACAAGCAATATATTTACCAATCAATGCATCGAGTAGAAAAAATATCAAATTTATTTGGATTTATTCTTGAAATAATAACATTCTGAAGTCAGTTTGTAAGAAAAAACATGAGAAAATTAGACATTTCTGTATATGTTTCAGTTGAATTTAAAATGATCCGAACTTAAAAGCTATGAATCTAATTTCTGAGGCCAGTTCTTATCCCTTCTTGCCTCAGCTTTTGCCCTGAGTGAAATGTAGATGTTCTAAAGAGAAGCAAATGGAGAAAATGTTGCTTCAAGTCTGTTCTTCATCTGTGAAGGAGATCGTTCAGCAGGCACTGCCATATAAGTGAACGGATATCACATAACAGTTCAGTACTCTTTGTTTCTATTGCTTCAAGTCTTTTCATCTGTGAGAACATTGTTCATCATTCGCTGTCATATATGTTAACTGATATCACGTAATATTTCAACACTCTTTGTTTCTATTGCTTCATGTTTTATGCCGGGCGGTCTCGGTTAGTTAACGAGAAATCTCGTTGTCTCGTCATTCGCATGCAAATCGTGGTCGGTCCTCGGCTGTATAAAGCAGGCGCGTTTTTCTGTTTTGGATCAGAGGGCTTTTGGCTTTTGGAAGTTCTTGCTTTTTACGAATTGGACAATTTCTTGCATTGATATACAGTTAAGTTTTGAGTTTCTAAAACCTTTTTGAAGTCTTTAGTTTTACTTTATTTGTGTTTCTGTTTCTTTTCTTTTTGTTTTTATTCCATTCTTTCCTTTCTTGCGATTTTTTTCCTCCCCATTGTTTTGTTTGTTTGTATTACTTTGGTTTAATATTTATTTGTTTGAATTATCTTTGGTTGCTCACGTTTATTCTTTCGTATTATTTTCTGTTTATGATTTTTGGAAAAAAAAAAAAGGAAAAAAGAAAAGAACAAAAAGCTGAAAAGGAAAAATTTAAAAAAATACAGTTATTTTCGTTTTGTCGCGGCCAAAATGGCCGACTACACA